AACATTTATAGCATTTTAAATATTTAGTAAAATAAAGTATGAGACAAAACTAATTTTTTTTTTATGAAGCAATTTTTATTAATGCATAATAGAAATATTTAAAAAAAATTAAAAATAAAATTTTTTAAATATATGATAAATTCAATACTCAGTAAAAGTTTAAATAATTGTCAATTTCTTGTCAAAATTTTATATTTTATAAAATATAACGAAATATATCTAATAATAAATTTTATAACAAATAAAATATCAAGCTATATTTTGCTTTCTTCTTTGAATATACATATATTGTGAAAAGAAATAAGCTTTATCTATTTAATACAACTTTTAATAAAATATTTATTGAATATTACACTACACATATATATTCTCATTGAAGGAATCTATATATTATAGAAGCTTAATGCATACATGTGTCTATCTATAATGACATTTTATTTCATTAATCTTTCCAAAGTCTGTGAATTTTCACTAGCGCTGCGCTCATAGATACAATCCTTGCATCTTCGCTAAAAGAAATAGCATCGACGGTGCTGAGTAGACACGACGACACGGTCGTTCCACGGTGTTCAGAAGGATGCTGCGACATTATTATCCCTTCCGTGTATATCGCGAGTGCGAGCGTGGCCTCGCGATCGCCGCTACGCACGCACGCACACGGCCGGCCGGGAGCAGCGCGCAACACCGGTTCAACCGGAATCAAAGCACCATCCTCTCGAAGTCGGTGCAGCGCAACGCGGGCTCTCTCACGGGCACATACACGCACCCGCGGGAACACGCGCGGAAAGTCCAAGCCGAAGCCCGGGCAGTCGGTGGGCGCTTTGATGTGGCCGCCGCTCTGCTGCCTTCAGCATCCCGAATACCTTTATATATACGTCTCGCATTGCGCTTTTTCTCTCTCTTCTCTTTCTCTGTCTTTCTCTTTACACTAACATATCGTTCGATCATTGTTCTGTCTGTAGTCATCCTTATCATTCGACATGCTCTCTTTTCTACAGTTTCTATACGTAACGCTGCAGACTCTATTCGGTGTAGATTTATTTCTCTCTTCTCACACAGGGTAGATTCTTCTCTCGCATCGACTCAAGAGGGTGGCTCGCCGGTGCTCTGTTTCTTCTGCGTGCGACACGAGAGATCTCGTGATCCTTGTGGAAACAGTCAGACGGCGAGGCAAATGTTGAATTCGTAGAAAAATTAACTTTTTAATTTCTTTATCAATATAGCAGAATAGCGTCGTGGCCGCGCGTGATTTTGCGCTTTGAAGGATATCAGACTGGTAATAGTATGGTTCTTGAATCGCAATTTCTCTTATTTCAGTTTTATTAAAGTTTACACGACCTAGTTAGAAACATTATGCGACGCATAATGCTGCTTTATGATAATGACATCTAATATAAAAATTTGCACGAGAACGTTTATTACATGAAAAAATTAAAGAAACATAAGAATAAAAGGAAAATGTGTATAAAATTGTTAACACAAAAATATCTGTCGAATCTATTGAGTGCTACAAACTCTTATAATTAAAGCAAGGCATTAATCAAGTCGTTAAATGCTTTAACGATGTGACAGCTGAAAAAGAAAGTTAAGATCACTTTCTTCATTTATTTCATTTAAAAAGAAATTTATTTTTACCCATATTTTGACACTTTTTCCATGACGTTCAATTTCGTTAGATTTAGTTAGATGATTCATTCTGGACCGAGTGTTAAACCATTCTTAAATGTCACGCGTGAGCGCAGTAAATCGTTTCCTAACAGAGAAATATCTCTGAAGAGAAACGAAGCGGCATGAGACGGGTTGAAGACGGTTGCATGTCGATCAAGAGGGCATAGTGGAGTGATGGAAAGCAAAATCCTACGCGATGAGCGACGTGGCCGGAATGTGGGACGCAGAAAAAGCGGCGTAGTCCCTCGCCCAGTGTGTATCTGCAAAGATACCGCACAGCCGACGCGTTCCTGCAGGATCAGGGAAGAGGTGGGCTCTCTTCTCTGTGCAGCACCTGTAACGCATAGCCATGCGTCCATCTGTCCGTTCTGTGGCATCGGTGAGAAGGCAAGATCTGACCAGCTTCTTGCGGCGCAATCAATCGAGCCGCCACCGTTGCTTGCCTTCATCCTCTCTTTCGACCTTCCTTTACTCGACTTCAATGTTGTTTTCCCACCAATGACACGAATTATACCCGCGCGCACGTAGATCACTTGTGTTTGTTCCTTTGGCTGCCTTGCGTTTAAGACACCTGTACATGTATCGACATCCATTCAAACAGAAGGCGTGGGAATAGGTATCGTTCCATCCTGAGATAATAGTCTTTGATGAGTATCAGGCAAATGTTGTTTTCTTATCTCGAAAATTGCAGTTTTACTCTCTTTTCTGGAAAAGTTTGTGAAACGTATAGTGACAAGTCATGAAAATTTTTATCTTTTTTGTGCTTAAGAATTTATTTTTAAGAGATCTTGAAAGACTTGTAAAAATCTTCGCCGGAAAAAGGAAAATTTTGGAAAAGATTACATAGTGATTCTCAGATAATTATATGATGTATTTTACAATACAATGCAGTACAATGAGCATTTTAAAGCATCGTAAAACTTATTATTTCATCTTATTGCGAAAAGTAACTATTTTTTTTTTCTCTTTTGTACCTGTCGGTTTCTCGAAGAGGCTAATTTTCTTTTTTTTGTATGATTATTAGGTTGAACGTCTGAATTGACGCGGCGAGTGAAGCATATTCACGCCAGGATACACATAACGGCGGCATGCCATAATTAACAGTAGCTACGTTTGTACGGTGAGTATAATAGCGGTGTTACTTTGAGATAGAGACCCCCACGAGGGTGTATTAATTTATTATCTTTTTTAAATTCTATTTATTTCGATTCTGTTTCTTTCTTTCTTTGAATCGGTCTCATTTGTCTCGAAGATCAAAAGAAAAAGAAATAGCTCGCTGCTGTATGAAGTTTTACGATCTTCTTTTTTTATCTATAATATAAAAGAAGAACTAAGAGAAGCTGTATTCTTATTGAACATGAATAATACGAACTATACACTGGAATATAGAAGAATTGTTTTAAATAAATAGTGATTGATGTATTGTAACATATTACATAAAAATTATAAAGTAATGCTACATTTGCAAGCTCTCTTTTGTCAAAGTTATATATTCAAACGTAACCACGGAAAGGTAACCACGACATAGATTGAGAAATTCCTATTCGGAGAAACAGGTCGCGCTCGAAAAGTCACGTTCGACTTTCCGTTGCAGACTTTCCGACGCCGCGTGACGATCAGCCCGACTATTTTGCTTTATTTGCATTTAACCGCTCGTCGCCGTTGACAAATGAGTCCGATATTATCGAACAATCGATTGCCATCCGAGAGGAATTGCTTTGCGGATGCCGACCGATTGGCTGACGAATCTCTTAACTCCACGCACCTTGTTTTAGGAAAAGAGAAAGAAACAGAAGAATGAAATGGAGAACAATCGGCCTTTGTGACATGCCTGTACAAACGGTGCACCGTGTTCCTTGCGTTTCTCAACCTTTCCTCTTCCCTTCGTCCTTTCGTCGCTATGTGATTCACCTCTTCGCTGTGCTCGAATCTGCGAGATCAAACGAAAAAGATACGTCCATTGAATTTGGAAGCTGCAGCTTAGGTGAGTAGACATTCGATTTTTCTCATTCGAAAAATAATTAAATATACAAATATGATTAACTCTGTGATATGAAAAATCATTTACACTCTAAATCTTTGACTAACAGTGATACCTTAAATTTTAAACGCAAGAAAGATATTAAAAATTTTATAGAAATTTATAGAAATTTATTTAGAAAATTCACAGAAAGGAGACTATTTGATCACTTAAGAAAATATTCCAACGCATTAATTTTGATATATTCTATAAGAGGTTATGTCAAACATATTACCTCTTTATTCATCAATCGGAGAGTTAATGTGTATTTAATTATTTTAGTACACGGTAGTGCACGATATTGCTTTCGGTTTCAAGGGCATGAAGTTTATGAACCTCTTGGGAATCGAATCGGGTAATGCCCGGGTGGCGTATGTCACGGAGGAAACTCCGCGCGCGCAATTACAATATTTCCTACGTTGCGAAAGAGGATGGGCTTGGCTGACACTCTGACAGGCCGTAGTCAAATGTTCCACGCTTCCCTGCGTTCGCGTCTCGTGCACGGGACGTGAGCATCTGTATATGCTCGCTTCCTTAACAGCGTATTCCGCACGAGTATAGACTCGCAACGCGCGGCCGCGCAATTAGAGGGCCTTCGCTCCTTTCACGTGCTTCCCGATAAACTTTAGAGAGAAAAATGGCTTCGTTCTCGAGCGATAAGTCACGCATTATACTAATTGCATGATTAGAGTGGCGAGAGAGAGAGAGAGAGAGGCACTTTAAGTTATTTCCTTACGTTCTCTATATTCGATTCTCAATTTTTTTCTTCGCATATCGTATATCAATGAGGCAAAAAAATATTCCCGGGTGCGATACTGTATTTCAACATAATAAATGAGAAGCGCGGTTACCGCGCGCGTGAACAGCTTTTCTCAATCCGTCAATCCAATCGCGCAGCCGGCTTCTGTACGCAAGATTAGCGGTTCCTAATGACACTTGCGTATCTCATAATTTATAAGCTCTCTCGCTAGAGGCTCCTACGGCTCCTTTCTCAGACTCTTCGATATTCCTAATAGTGAGTAGATCACGTCTCCGTGAACCGTCGGATCCATCACCGAAGCGGAAGGGGAATGTCGAATCGATCTAAGATAGAGGGAACGGGAGAGCAGCTCCCGCAGGTGGACGCGTTGCGCAAACCGAAATCTCATTATCGCGAGACAAAGGTGCGACGATTAATCATCGTCACCGCCACGGCGGGTCCGTGTAGCTCGCGGCGGAAGCGCGAGATGGAAAGCGCAGAGCAGAGTGGCCGTGTACCGGCGAACGAGGAGAAGGAGAACGAATAGAAGGATGAGGGACGAAGCGTCAACGCACGGTGGTCGTCAAAGGTCCATGCGGAACTAAGTCGCGCGCCCTTTGTCCCGCCGTGCTTGCCATCCTTTTACGATTTTTTTTTTCCAGACGACGAGGCTCGATTCTTCCGCGATTCGACGCGGTTCATCTGCGTACGACTCGCGTGTATACATCGAACGCGTTAAATTTGTAATTACGTTTATTACCGAGGAATCATGTATCTTCCAGAACGACCACCGGCGGGATTAATCGATAGATCGAATTGTCGCGCGGCGAACGCGTTAAATTCAGCGGACCTTTTTTGGCGCGTACGTAATTTTGTGGCGGGACGTCGGTGTTTGTTAGGCTCGGCATTGTTGAGAGACGTGTACGTCCGGATAGCGCGATGATAATTTATGAACTTCATGTTGCATATAGTCTTAGAATAACGCACAGTAATTATTTAAACTTTGAAGTAACAGTATCGATCTTTAATAAATATGTCGCATTGACTTTTATATATATATTATTTAATGCCAAATTCGATTGTTATAATTTATATTAAGCACTATATTCGATCAATCAAATGTGAAATTGCGTTGCCCTATTCACCATCAGTCCCAATGCAATTCGATATCTTTGATATTGTGATAATTTATCAACTTGTGACGTGCGAAGGACATAGAACACATCCCATTAAGCCTTCTTCTGTAAACATTTTAGCATTCCCGGGAAATACGCACGTATTTCCACGTCCGAGCATCCTAATTACCTGCATTATCGTGCAACCACTATCGGATCCCTCATTACGCGGCGCATCCTTCCGCGGCGTAGGAAAGGCGACGTAGAAAGAGGCATAACGTCTGTCGTTTCGCCACCGAGGTCGAGCCGATCGAGCGCGCGTAATTATTGGGTTCGGGAACGAGCCGGTCGGTGTCGACAATGAAAAATCCCAGGAGAAGGATTAATCCTCGCCTGGCGGCACCGACATGTCCCGATGCGTCCTCAGGGCCGAAGGACGCGTTCTCTCTCTCTTTACGGAAGTCCTCGAAATCTTGCCGTGCACGTGGTGCCCATCAATCTTGTTTATGCATATTAGAGATTACGCGTATATGTAAGTACACCGGCCGATACACGATATCGCGGCGGGGAAAAAAGGATTAACTACGTTGTCGTGCATCAATCTCCGGCTGCGCGAGAGCTTCCTCTCCGCGCCGACCGGTTCCGCGATGAATTCCACCGTACAATATTATTAACTGGCTTCCTTTCTTTCTTTTAACATTAACGTCGAATTTTTTTTCCAATAAAAGTGTCTCGATAACTACTACTGTTGTTCGATGCCATGCATCTCGCAAGTTCGGAATCCAACCTTCTATTAAAAAAGGTAAATTGCCGGCGGCTCGACATTATTCGAAAAAACACGCGGAGAACATTCGAAATATAAGAAATTTATGACAGTTTTACGCAATTAATCCTGCGCAAAGTGTAAGAAGAATAAGAATGCGGCGAATGCGTAGCGATCGCGCTGGAATTTCGATAAGCGTAAGAAGGAGCTGCCGGACACGGACGCCGCGTTAATCTCGATACGTCGTGTGTCACCGGAGGTGGTCTGCGATGATGAATGCGAGGCCTTAGGCGGACCTCAGGAGAGGACGGCAGGTAGCCGGGTAGCCGACAACACACAGCAGGGGGCTCCTCTCATCTCGATGGTTCGGGCGTATTGAGTCGAACAGCGAAGCAACATTGGCTCGTTCCATAACTCCGAAGAAAAGAGAGCTGTGCAATGTAACCGATGTAACTCATGATGTGACGACAGGTGGAAGATGTATTACAGTGCATCCTTTTAGCACTGAAATAAGTGTCCTGAAATTTATTAATTTTTATTCGTTTAACGTACGCTCAAACTCAATTTCGATTCTTGCATAAATTTATTTTATATGTTTGATTGTTAGATCTGTAAAATTTATTTTTATTGTGCAATAAGCAATCGTATTTAAAAATATATGACAGTTTGAGCAAGAAGAATATAGTGAACACCTTTTAAGGAGTGTCACCTGTACAATCGTGGGAGCACGATCAGACGGAAAAAAAGATCGAAATTAACGACGCGGTCTTCCTGCGTAGGCGAGGCGCAGATCTTCTTCGTTCAATGCCAAAACGGGAGTCCGTAGACCTGTCTGGCGCCGGAAGCGATTAATTTCAAGCATTTACGAGTGTGTCCACATGTTGCACAATTATAGATACTTAAGAATGAAAGGAAATATCATCGTAGGTGTCTTTTCTGTTTGTGACAGCAGTGGTAAATTAGTCCAAATGCCGAAAGGTAATAATTTAAAATGATTGAAAATTATTTGATATAATAAATGATAATTGAAGTATTGATAATGATGTTAGTGTAAACAGAAAATAATTGTTAGATAAGTGTAAAAGAATTTATAATTTTCTTAATTCGAAGATTATTTAAGGTAAATAATTTGTATTATATAACTGAGTCATTGCAATGCTATATTAATCACAAAAATAACACATTACTATTTAACAAAATTATCCAAAATGAAACTGCACAGGAAACATAACAAATATGTGGACCACTTCACGTATAGATTAGTTCACACAGATCGATATCTTGAGAAATCCTCGTGCGAACGAGATCGTTGCACCTGATAAACGGTTCTCCCCACAACTATCCTAGACGCTGACTTTCGTGAGAAATTATTACGAGTCCTTAAATGCGCCGGGGAAGCTTTTAAGTCTCTTCTGGCAAGGTGCTTGAAATGCGGCGTTATATGACGAAGCCGTTTTTTTGTTTCTTTCCCGTGTTATTCCAGCTGCGTGGCTTTTGTTTCACATAATTGGAAATTCTCCGCTATTTTGATATTTCTCACAAAGAAAACATCTCTCGCAATTGTGAAGAAAATTCTATTATATCTTTAATATTTCGTATCTCTTCTTCTGCAATAATTTTATCGTACGGCAAGTATCGTTGATTTTTCACATTTGTAATATTTTAGGATATGATTGCGAGGAGTTTTGAGACTATACATATTTGCGTCAAATGTATATTTTTCTTATCCTATGCAATGTGTACTGTCTGATAGCGTTTGTTCCAAGATAGCCGTAATTAACCGAGCAAACAGTGCGAAGAGAAATTTCGCGGCCATATATCTGAAGGAACTGCGTTCTCGCGTGCATACGAGGGAAACGGTTTTCGTGAAATGCGCAGGTTTGCATGGGGTTGGTATAAGGGGCGGGTCGCATCCCCATGACAACCGTTGGCCTCGCTGATGAATTGACTTGGTGCGCGGCACATCGGTACACCGGTGAAATGCGATTCCTGATTACCTCGCAAACTTGGGCCTCCTAATTAACAATCCACGGGCACATTCGTTGCTCGAGTTACAACTTTCGTGGGTTCCTACTCGGCCGCGCGCGTAGAAAGCGGCTTTGTAATCCGAGCGCTTTTTGAAGATAGGCTCAATTATCGTCTGCCGTTACGAGCTATGAACGCCCAACTTAGACCAATCATACGTACCCAAAGATATGATTAAGCAAAGATCCCAATGAGGAGAAATGCAAATGCATCAGTGTCAATGCATGTGTCATTGTAATAAATTTGAAGACAATATGATTTATTTAATGAGTTGCTATTTAATAACTGATTATTCCTAACTGATTATTCAAGCTTGC